GCCAGCTGCAAGTTCTATCTGGCGTTTGAGAACTCCATCCACAAAGATTACATTACTGAGAAACTGTACAACCCACTCTCAGTGGGGACAGTGCCAGTGGTTCTCGGCCCACCCAGGCAGAATTACGAGAACTTTATCCAGGGAGACTCCTTCATTCATGTTGACGACTTCAGCTCGCCCAAGGAATTGGCTGATTACCTGCTGCTCCTGGACAAAAATGAGGAAATGTACCTCAGGTACTTTGAGTGGCGGCGACACTTTAAAGTAAAGAAGGCCTATTTTTGGGCAGAGCACACATGCCTGGCTTGTGATTACTTGCGAAGGCACAAGGAATACAAGGCATTCAATAGCCTTGATAAGTGGTACTGGGGCGGTTAGAGATTTGAAGGGCTGTGTGTGAGGGGCTAAGCAGCCAAGAACACAGGTAAAAAATTTCTTCAAAAAGGGTTTTCTTTATTTTAACCCTCAAAAAGTTCAAAAAAGACTAAATTCAAAAACATAAGTAGCAAGCCCATAAAAGAGGTCAACTAAATGTAACTCTACAAAAAGTAATTTTCAGAAGCTTAAACAAACAAAGTGGACATAACTTAACTCCCAAACCACCCTAATTACAAAGACACAAGAGAGTAGCTTTTATAGTGGTTTGGCCGTTTACACACAATAGGGGGAAAACAAAATCACACTCTAATATTAACTAAGCACAGAATAACCTAAGTAAACCTAAAACATCCCTGTTCCTGATGAGCACATGGTTGGTCCTTCTGAGCAGGCCTATTGTTCTCAGAGTCCTCAGCCATGCATTTTGCCCCCCCCCCCCATACCAGTTGGTGGCGGTAATGCATCTTTCAGTTGTTTGCCAACCAACAATAAAAATTTAGAAGAAGAAGGTCCCTTTTTCCCAGACAGGAAACAGCCACCGCCCAAACCCAGGTAACTCAAAAAAAACAAAAACATAATTAATATAAGAGAAAACATTTTTAGAAAAACCACACAACGCTATTATGTGCGCGCCTCATAATATCAGTGTTAGGTTTAACCAAATGATTAATGAATTATATTAATGAAGAAAACTGCAAAACAAACTAATAAAGTGAACAAATGGACTGATTTACCCATGTGTGGCTGATGCCATCACACTGTGTGATTTTTGTTATGTTGTTGAAGGCAGTACTGTAAGATTTTTGTCCTTCAGTTAACACAAAGGTTCGTTGCTGTTCTGTCGTGAGCAGCTGAATGGTGTCTTTCTATTGGTTCAGAGGCCCAGTGACACATCTAGCTTGTTCTTTTTTTGTCCTTTGAATTTTAGTTAAGCCTTACTTTGC